TTTTTGATCCCATGAAATTAATTTAGACAGTACCTGTGTTTTGACTGCAGAAAAATCTTGCCTGAAACCTCGAACCTTATTCTCTGTTACGTTATTGACAACACTTTTTATTAGTCTTTATGAAAGGAGTTAAAAGGAAATATGGGGCTGAGCGTGCCCAGTGGCTAGCGTGTCGGCCTATGAAGCTGAAGATGCGTGGTTCGTGTCCTGACACTGCCCCAAAAATCGCGTTCCACAATTTGGAGGCGGGCGTTGAGTATGTTATATTAAATTACCTAGTACAGTATATGTAAATCAGCAAGTCACGTGACAACCACAGCCGATGTTATGTCGCAGTGGAACGGAATGTATCAGAACTACATTTTGACATTGTTTGCACTTATGTAGATAGTGTGATTCCACCGAAAATATTTTGTTTTCTGGAAGGGTATGTAACAGCCCTTACCCACATAAAATATTCAAACTGTGAAGATGAATTAAAGTCGGGTTTGGAATTTTACAAGAAGAGGAGTTAATGTAGTTAATGGCATTGGAAAACAAAGGAATGTGGATCAACTTGGAGCACCAGGACCATTTAGAAAGAGATATATAGCAAGTCATACATACCCTTGTAACAGATGGGATTCTTAGAACACAACTGTCAGTGAATAAAGCCAAAATAATCAAGAAAGATCTTCGTCTGAAAAAAAAAGTCGATTCAGTGAGATATCTGTTCAATTCGTATACCTCAAGCAGTTTTAAAATGAAACGTATATTTATGCTATTTGGCGCTGGACAGTGGATCATCTCATCTAGCGGATGTCTGATGCAACTGGGACAATAATAAGTTAGTTGAGCACTGCAACCTGCAGCAAGAAATGGCGACACTGCAGTGTTTTGCCAATCATAATATATGGTATTTCACAAATCAGAGAATAACCATAACGGCCTGAAGGGGGTCAGTGATGGAAATGGCTAAACGAAAGATATATAGAAACGGAAAAACAAAATAATAAAGATATTACATCAATGTATAAGAATATCAAAGACATCACAGGTAAACAAGGATGCACTAGGAATAGTGATGTAGTTATGGATGGAGTACAAGTATTGAAAAGAATGACAGAGACTATTGATGAAAAGTCGTGATGAAAAGCTACCTATTAAGATGAGCATGGACGGATGGAAAATGCTTAACTCAGAAGTACGAGCAGTTATCAACAGAATGAAAACCAATAAAGCTACAGGGCCAGATGAAATTGCAGTAGGGCAAATAAAACGTTTGGAAGAATTTGGTATAGAAAAGTATTATCAATGAGATTTATGAAAGTGGTGAAATCCATGATGATCTCAGTAAATCGATCTTTATTGCACTCCCCAAAAGACCTGGGGCCATTGAATGTGAACACCATTGAACTATCAGTTTAATGAGCCACGTGACAAAGATCCTGTTAAAGATGTTGATGATGAGAGCTAGAAGTAGAATAAGACTGGAGATTTCAAAAATTCAATGTGGTTTTATTGGAGGTCATTGTACGAGAAATGTTACCTTCATGGTAAGAATGCTCTTCGAGAGTGCAGTGGAAATGAAGAAGGACCGTTTCCTGTCCTTTATTGATTATGTCAAAGCTTTTGATAAGAGTCAAGCAGGAGGAGTTAATGAAAATGCTGGGAGTACTGGACAATGATGGTAAAGACTTGAGTTTTTTAAGAAACTTCTATTAGACCAAACTGCACCAGTGAAGATAGAAAATGAATTATATGATTTCATCCAAACTAAGATAAGCGTGAGGCAAGGCTGCGTCTTTTAAGCTCTGACTTGAGAAAATCCTGAAAGGGATTGGGAATTTACCAGAGCTGATCATAGTTGGAGGTAATTTTAGCAACTTGTGTTCTGCTGATGACAGTTTTAATAACTGATTCTGAAGGAAAGCTGCAAAATGGTTTAGATAAAGTTATTAGTGAAAGTGAGAAAAAGGGTTTAAGTATTAACTGTAGGAAG